TCCGCAGCGACCGAGCCGGCTCGAGTTCTTGAAGGCAAACAACAGCGCGCGTGCGGAAAAAATCCATGGATCTTTCGCCTTTAGTTGCTGTGCCGGTCATTTAAAAAACTGAGCTCGTTCGCGGAATGCCCTACATCATGCACAGCCCCTGCCAGGAGCGGCCGCGGGCGACGGGCCTCCGACCCGGGCCGTCCCGGGCGCGCGCCGCGCGCCACGACGGGGCCCGCCGCGACGGGGCGCGCCGCGACGGGGCGCGCCGCGGCGGGGGGCGCCGCGGCGCGGCGAGAGGCTGCTTGTTCGTGCTGGCGTGCTGGGTGGTCGATTCGGCGGGCGCCTCCTGCGCCAGCGTCGCGTTCTCCGAGCGCGTCATCACCGACCAGGCGGACGAGGTCGTCTCCGTCTTCTCGATCGACGTCGACGGCGACGGTGACGTCGACACGCTCTCGGCGTCCTACTTCGATGACACGATCGCCTGGTACGAGAACGACGGGTCCCAGTCCTTCACGGAGCGCATCATCACGACGCTGGCGAACGGCGCTGTTTCCGTATTCGCGCTCGACGTCGACGGCGATGGCGACGTCGACGCGCTTTCGGCGTCTCGCGAAGACGACACGGTCGTGTGGTACGAGAACGACGGCTCCGAGTCCTTCGCGGAGCGCGTCATCACGAGCTCGGCGGACGCCGCCCGCTCCGTCTTCGCGATCGATGTCGACGGCGACGGCGACGTCGACGCGCTGTCGGCGTCCTACAACGACGACACAGTCGCGTGGTATGAGAACGACGGGTCCCAGTCCTTCACGAAGCGCATCATCACGACGCTGGCGGACTTCGCCTACTCCGTCTACGCCATCGACGTCGACGGCGACGGCGACGTCGACGCGCTTTCGGCGTCTCGCGACGACGACACGGTCGTGTGGTACGAGAACGACGGCTCCGAGTCCTTTGCGGAGCGCGTCATCACAACGCTCGCGGACAACGCCCGTTCCGTCTTCGCCATCGACCTCGACGGCGACGGCGACGTCGACGCGCTGTCGGCGTCTTTGAACGACGACACGGTCGCATGGTACGAGAACGACGGCTCCCAGTCCTTCTCCGAGCGCGTCATCACGAATCTTGCAGACTCCGCCCGCTCCGTCTTCGCGATCGACCTCGACGGCGACGGCAACGTCGACGCGCTGTCCGCTTCCGCCTATGACGACACGGTCGCCTGGTACGAGAACGACGGGTCCCAGTCCTTCACGGAGCGCGTCATCACGACGCTGGCGGACGGCGCCCGCTCCGTCTTCGCGCTCGATGTCGACGGCGACGGCGACGTCGACGCGCTGTCGGCGTCCTACGACGACGACACGGTCGCGTGGTACGAGAACGACTGCGAGACGCACGCGCCGACGACCGCGCTGCCGACTTCAACACCAACTTTTGCATGTCGCTATACCAGAGGCACACTTTACAATGAGAATTGCTTCGCAGCAGCGGCTCTTTTGAATGAATACATTGGCGAATCATTTCTTTCATGCGACTATTCATTTAGCTGCACGAGTGCAACGGGAGACAATTGTTATCTGAAATACATCGAGTCTGATTTCTGCTCGTCAGGAGAAATAGACATTTTGAATGCCTTTTTTTCAGATGCAGTCTTCACGTGCTGCGACTACACCAGCAGTTGTACGAATCGAATGCTGTTGCTGGAAACCGACTGTGGATCACAAGTCACTGAGCTCAACGACCTCATCGAGGGGCTTGTAGATGGCTCCGTGACACCAAATCCCAGCTCGGTGCCGACAGCCTCGCCCACAGCCGCGCCGTCTTCGACCCCCAGCGCGGCCCCTTCGTCGGCTCCGAGCGCGGCGCCCTCCTCGGCGCCGTCCTCGAGTCCGTCCTCGAGCCCCAGCGCGGCACCTTCGTCGGCTCCGACCCCGTCGCCCTCCTCGGCGCCGTCCCCGAGTCCGTCCTCGAGCCCCAGCGCGACCCCCAGCGCGACGCCCTCCTCGCCCCCGACGGCCTCCTTCCTGCGCATTACGAGCATCGGCGCCGGCTCGACCTGCGTCTCCGGCGTCGAGTGCGACGTCCTCTGGGTCTACCGCGGCGACCCCGGCGCCTGCGCGACCGTGGACGTCGAGGTCTCGGACCCGGACGGGACCGTCGTCCGCGCGGAGACCGCGACCAACGACGGCCAGCAGACGCAGACC